TGCAAATGTAAATATTCGGCACTCAGGGCCATTGAGCCGTGAGGAATCTTTATCGTGCCAACGCCTGTCGTGACACGGGGCCTCGGTTTTTATGGTCTCATCCGAAGGACCCGCAACTTTCACTTCAAAGTGCCGAGCGCATGGCGAAGGAACAGTTGCTACCAATTTTTTATCGACTTAGGTCAGTCGCGGCCGAGATTCGAACTCACGACCTCCCGATCACGGAGCGAGCGATCTACCGACTGCACTACCGTGAACAGTTTGGGTAGTAGGGGATATACGTTAATGTTAAATGAAATATTCAAAAAAAAAATTGTTATACCTGTTAGTTGAGATTTCATTTCTCACTTTCTTATTTGTCGCAACATATTTTGTTCACCTTGTTCGGCCATCATTTTAGTGTGTAAAGCCACGGAGAGCGTTCTGCTAAGAGGGATAACTAAAATAATAAAATTGATCACGTAAATTTAGCCTGTACCGTAATATGGTATAATGTTACTGAATTTGGTAGCATTTAATTTTATGCATCCATTCTCTGTTGGGAAGTCATCATCATTACGGATAAAAATCCATTCTAGATGGCTATCAAACCCTATTATGCAACTGGGACAATAGACGGCAAAGTTGTTTTTTGCTATGACAGAAACCTGATTTTTATCGTATTTTTTACTATTTATAACATTCATTTACTAACGTATAGTGGTTTACCGTTTTGACATACCATAAACTATTTTTTTGTAGAATATAAAACTATGATTTCTTAAAAAAACAAAATAAGAACAGAATAAAGTTAAATTTCAAACATCGTTCAAGAAAATTTGGTCAAACTGAGCTTATATAATTCAAACGGCTACTCTACGGTCACATTTCTTGTTGTATTTAGGCTCTTTCCGACATAACTGCAAAATGTGGATAGTTTTTGTTATTTAATAAGTGTGCCGCAAGTGCTTAATTATGTTGAGTCAAGATATTTTGGCTGTCGTGAACGACAGACGGGGCAAACAATGACAGCAGATTCAAAACAGAATGTGGCAATCGGAAACAATGGATACAATTTTTAATAAAATAATAAATTTACTGTCTTATTATCTTATTGATCTTCAAATTTCGGAATATATATATATATATATATATATATATATATATATATATATATATATATATATATATATATATATATATATATATATATATATATATATATAATTTTTTTTTTGCACATGTCTTCAGACGGTCCATTTGTGATTTAAGAGTCGCAAATTTTGTTTTCCAGGGCCACGGAACGAAAACCGGATATTCGGGACTGTAAAATATGATGGACCATAGTAAAGTATTCAAATACAATTTTCATGCACAAGTCTAATGTCATCATAAACTTGGGTTTTTGAATTCTTGTTTGAGCATATTCTATTTCTGAAATAATAAATCATGCAATTAAGAGATATCTAACATGATAATGACGATGTTGTCAATGAGCTCGGTACGTATACAGACTGATTCTAATACAAGATACGGAAATGACGCCCGAATAATGATTTTTGTTTGAATATTCTTCTGAAAATGTTTCAAACAGTTCGTTTCTTATGATATTTTTTATCATGCAGTGAAGCCGAGATTTTCTTTAATAGGGGGGAAAACAGATATTGGAAGGCTCCCATTTTCTCTAGTTCAAAATTTTGGATCTGACAACACTGAAATTCCATCTCTCATTTAACTATTTTGGTTATCAAGTTGAATGGTGACTATTAAACACATTAATGTAGACTGCTTACTTATCTCGTGAAATGAATGCTTTAAGTTTGATTCATGGTGGTCCTCTCGTGCCCGGTTTTATAATTTTGTTTTGACAAAAACTTTTGTAAAGGAATTCATTAATTATCCTAAAAAGCATATAATGTCTACAAAAAAAAGTAAAGGCGAGAGTTGTCGGAAACGACAACTATCGTTACATTAAGCAAAGCAAAATAGAGCTATCGTAGACTATGTAGATTTTATGAAGAAAAAAGAAAGATTAAAATGATACTGTTGAGCTAGGTGATTTTAAAATCATAATTGCTATATGAAAAAATAAAATTGTGCTAAGTATTTATTATTCACAAAAAATATTTGTTTAAGAAAAGGTATTTAGAGTCATATACCAAAGTCAGAATAACAGTTTTTTTTTAGCTCATCTGAGCATGGCTCAAGTAAGCGTTTCTGATCAAAGGGTGTCCGGCATCCACCTGTAGTGTAATGTCTCTCGTCTGTGATTTTTTTTTTTTTTTTTTTTTTTTTTTTACATTTTCGTATTTTTTTTTTTTTACAAGAAACAGTGGGCCAATTTCAGCGAAACTCTTTCAAATGAAGGATCATATCCTCTTTCAAGGGGAGATAATTAAGAATTAGTGAAAATTTAATGACACATTTTTTTAAAAATCTTCTCAAGAACGACTGCGCGAGAAAAGAGGAAACTTTTGTGAAAGCTTTATTGCATAGAGTAAATTCATTTTTTTTTTCAAACCATGACCCCCGGGGCTAGGGCTAGGCCACAATCAGTGATTAAAATTTTACATAGGAATACATAGAAAAACATAGGTAATCAAAGATTACGAAGCTCACCTCGACGAATGTTATCTACATGTAAGGCAAATTTCACATTTTTTTTTCTAGTTAGGGTACATCCCAAGATCAATATCCATGCAAGTCTGATTTAATTATAGACCTGCTCAAAAAACTTTTGACCTCTTTAGTAATCAAGAAAATTTTGGTCAGTTCCAACATCCAAAGCAAGTCTGGAAGTTTTCATCCTTAGATGCACCATCTATGCAAGTTTAATCATAACAGGTCATAATATTATATAGCTACTCCAAAAAAATTACCCTGGTCACTCATCTGGAAAATGTACGTCAGATTCAGAATCCAAGGCAAGTCTGGAAGTGTCCATCCCTAGATACATCATCCATGTTAATTTGGTTAAAATATGGCTAAAATTCACTCATGTGGAAAATCTAGGTCAGATCCAGCATTCGAAGCAGGTTGGTTAGTGTACATCCCTAGATGCATCATCCATGAAAGTTTGGTCCAGGTAGGACTTATAGTTACTTGGGAACGAGACTACTCCTAAATCTAAACCTGGTCTCACATGTGGAAAATCTGGGTCAGATCCAGCATCCGAAGCAAGTGTGGTAGTGTCCATCCCTGGATGCATCATCCATGCAAGTTTGGTCAAGGTAGGGCTTATAGTTACTTGGGAATGGACCTGCTCCTAAAACTTTAACCTGGCCACTCATCCGGAAAATCTAAGTCAGATCCAGCATCCGAAGTAAGTGTGGTAGTGTCCATCCCTAGATGCATCATCCATGCAAGTTTGATCCAGGTAGGGCTTATAGTTACTTGGGAATGGACCTGCTCCTAAAACTTTAACCTGGCCACTCATCCGGAAAATGTAAGTCAGATCCAGCATCCGAAGTAAGTGTGGTAGTGTCCATCCTTAGATGCATCATCCATGCAAGTTTGATCCAGGTAGGGCTTATAGTTACTTGGGAATGGACCTGCTCCTAAAACTTTAACCTGGCCACTCATCTGGAAAATCTAGGTCAGATCCAGCATCCGAAGCAAGTGTGGTAGTGTCCATCCTTAGATGCAGCATCCATGCAAGTTTGATCCAGGTAGGGCTTATAGTTACTTAGGAATGGACCTGCTCCTAAAACTTTAACCAGATCACTCATCTGGAAAATCTAAGTCAGATCCAGCATCCGAAGCAAGTTTGGTAGTGTCCATCCCTAGATGCATCATCCATGCAAGTTTGGTCCAGGTAGGGCTTATAGTTACTTGGGAATGGGACTTGCTCCTAAAACTTTAACCTGGGACGCCGACGCTAACGCCGACACCGACGGTATAGCATAAGCTCATCTCGACTTCGTCGAGGTGAGCTAAAAATCTTTTAAAATCTTCTACTCACGAACAACAAACCCACGATTAGTCACATTTATTAGTATATGGAAGCATCCTTATGTAGCGTAGATTAAATCTGTTCAATTTCGTGACCCCTGGGGGTAGGGTTGGGGCCACAATATATTATCAAAGTTTTGCATAGGTATGTAAGGGGAAAATCTGCCGGAGGACAGCAGGGCCATAGTAACTTAGGTAAGCGATGCCACCCATGGCTTCTCGATAAATCTTTAAATGTTCCAAACTATAATTATCCTTTAATTGATTTCAAATATATATGGTTGCTAAGTAGAACTCAACATTTTGCTGATTAAAACATCGAGAACTAAATTTAAATAAAGTTGTTACCGATTGCCTTCATCTGTCGTCAGTGTTTGCCATGTTAACAACCATCTGCTGTTCAAGACAGCCAAAATATCTTGACCCAACAAAATCAAGCTCTCGCAGCACACTTATTAAACAAGAAAGACTATTTATATTTTGCAGTTATGTCGTAAAGAGCCTAAATTTATTATATACAACAAGAAATGTGACCGTGGAATAGCAGTTCGAATTATATAAGATCAGTTTGTCCAAATTTTCTTGAACGACGATTGAAATTTAACTTTATTCTGTTCTTATTTTGCTTTGATAAGAAATCATAGTTTTATATTCTACAGAAAAATAGTTTGTGATATGATCAAAACGGGGAACCACCAAACGTAAGTAAACGAATGTTGTAAATAGTGAAATATATGATAAAAGTCAGGTCTCTGTCATAGCGAAAAACAACTTTGCCGTCTGTCGTCTCAGTTGCATCAGCAGTCCCAGTCGCCGGTAATAGGGTGTGGCTATTGTAGTGTGCAAATCGACACAATGAATGCATTTGTGGGTATCTTATTAGTAATCAAAGAACTGAAAAGCCTCACACTTGTCTAGTATATGTAGCTTATTGGCATCTTACTTTTTACAGAAACATTTCCAGAGCCAGATTGTTCTTCAATATCCTTATAATATATATGTTTTACTTAAACTTGTGAATACCACATATAAATTTACTTTCATATTTTATTATTAAAACAATTCCCATACATTCATTTTAATATTAACAATTTTTAGCTCAGCTAACTGAAGGATTTGTCTTGTTGAATATTTGAACTTCTTAAAAATTCATTACATAAATTAATTTCTTCTACAGAAAAAAAACACTGGAAACTTTTGAAACATAATTCTCAAACTTTAAATTTTTGTGAAATAACCAGATACATTAAAATTTTCTCACCAATATATAGCCTAAAACGGAGAGACACATCCAATCATATACACATAAATAACACAGTAAGCTGAAATCTTGTTCACAAAAACTAATCTACATGTATCCAATCTAATAAGGCTGGCTCAAACATAAATACCACCATAATGGCAGTATTTCCATGTAATTGTAAAATTATGCTAAATTAAGATTCAGGTCAGAAAACATGAACCGGGGGAAATTACATACAGTGTAATTCTGGCTTATTATGGTGAATTGTAACTTCCATTAAAAAAAAACCAAACATATGCTCTTCCTCATAAATGCACAGATTAAAAACTTGGGTAAATTTCTTAAATTCTGTGAGAATGAATTTGAAGGTCTTAATCTGATTTTATTTAACTGAACTGCTCAGACTAGTTGCCCGACTAGAGGATGTTTACATTTCAATATATTTACACAATAAAGTGCTGTCCTTGTGTTTGATATGCTTGTAACATGGCAGAATAAATACATAACCCTCATTAACAAGTTATTTTTATAAAACAATTCTACAATGATTGCAACTGTTATTCCCCATATAGCATAACAAAGAAAGGCATTTTATTATTTATCTCTAAATCTTTTTAAATAATGATAGAAAATGGGTGAAAGTATGTAAAATAATAAAAATAAGGATTCTCAATCTGTTCATTATGTAAGTGAAACAGTTAACTTTTAACATTTCTTCTATAATGTATATTTGGAGTTAAAGATGGCTTTAAATACACATGTAATGGATTTAACTTGATTAGAAGTCTGTTCTCATATTAAATAAAGGAGAAAATGTTACATTTGCACTAACCTGACTTGAAAATTATTTAAACATTACAATTTGTTATCTATAAAGTTTAACTAATGAAAAACAAATCACTGAATTAAAACAAAAAATTAAGGACGTAAAACTTCAAATCTATCTGCAATTGGTTCTTCCCCAAAATGTTCTTGTACGTGTCGTTCAAACTCTGATTGCAATTCAGCAGGATAGCTAGCATCACACATAGGACAAATCCTGACATCTTTCTCAGATGTCTGCTGTGGGGACACATTTCTTAGGGGTGGGGACACATTTCTGAGGGGTGGGGTTACATTTCGTAAAGTCATGCACTCTTCTGAGTCATTATCCATACAATGAAACACATGCATTTGGAAATTTTCCATACTAATATTGACAAAATTTTGTCCACAGACTGGACATATCTGTGAATTTCCTAAAGAACTTTTCTGAACAACCTGTTTTGGCCTAGTTCCAGTACTTGATGGTGCCACGTTACTTGGCACTGTGCGTATTTCTGGCTTCATAGCATTTTCTTGTGGGACTCGCCCAACAGAAGGCTGGAGGAAGGGTTTATTTTTAATCTCTGTCTCTTCACCCCTTGTTTGTGAGGAAGGGGATCTAACTGCAGAATTAGGGGGAGATATTCCCCCACTATTGTGTTCCTGGGGCATTCGATATGGAGTTTTACTGATTTGTTCATCTGGTGGCAGAACCTTCACACGAGGTGATATTATAGGAATGTTCCCTGCAGGATGACCTGGTATGTCTTTTAATTTCACGTAATCACTACCTTCAGGGGAATAGTGGTGACTGGAAGATCCAGGAATATTGTAAGATTTCCTGTCCCCAATAAACCTGCCCCTCTCTGAATTTCCCACTTCAGTCAGAATGTCCAGGTTTTCATACAGACTGATATCCTGGGTGGGAACTGATTTTTTCCTGGCAGTATTGGAAGTTTTAGTACCAGTGGGATATGTAGCCTCTAGAGCTTGTTTTTGAGGTGGACTAACAGTTGATACATGTCGGGGGCTTTTGCTCTCTTTGTTCAATGCTCCTAATGGTGAGGGGTACTTATAAAATCCACTCTCTGCATTCAAATTTTCACTTTCTTTTGGTCCCCTTGTGGACTTATTCTCAACTGCAGGTTTTCCAAAATTCAACTGTTGAAACTGCTCATCCAGATTGTGTGTGTTCTCATCCATGGGCAAAGTCTGTAGGGTGGGGAAGGTGGAGATGAGGGGCTGTTGTTTTCTCTGGGCGTCCACCGTGTGACTTGTGAAGTCTGTGGTTTTGGGGGGCACCTGTGTCTCAGATTGTGAGGACACAAAAGAGGAACCCTCTGCTGCATAACGGGAAGTGGTGGATCCAAGGCTGGAGCATCTAGAATTGTCTGAAACAGAAAATTACTGGTCAAAAATTATGTATTAAGTACAAAAAATTTTTTTTAGATAAAAATTAAATGAACTATAACATGTGCAGTTGAACTTCGGTATCTCTAACACTGATATCTCGAATATCATGGATATGTTGAAGTGAAGTCCCAACCACTTATTCTTTATGTATTTAACCCTTGATATCTTTAATACTTGGATATCTTGAAGTTTTTTCTTTGTCCCATCGAGTTGGAGATAACGAAGTTTGACTGTACAAGTTTTACTTGTGTCATAAATTAAAACCTTACCCCCAAAAAAAAAAAATTAAATGTACTATCTTTTTTTGAAAAAAATGTTGCATACTGCACTTTTAGACAATTCTTATTTGTACCTTTGGCAATTAGATATCAAAGGGATATTGAGTATACTATATGTATGTATAGATTACTTTATATAGACAATAAAAGCTACAATCTACTGAGTAATAAGTCACTGAAGTATAAAGGTGAGAATGAAAGTCACCTTAAGGGTGGATCTGAAACCTGTACAGACAATATCAACTTGTATGTATGTTTCCTGTTATTTCATGTATTCAGGAAAGAAATATGCCTCATAAAAAAAATTCCCAATTACCTGATTTTTGACCTCAGTTTTTTTTTGGCTTAATCATACTTTTACGTGAACCAGTACATGTACATGTGTATATAAACTGAGATGCAACATTTTTAAATACATGTCTGGCAAGTCAAACTATGTATTTAAACATAGACAGGATATATAATAAATAAATGTACATGTCGTGGGATTTTTCTTTTTTGTAAGATGGAAGATATTCAGTTTTCATGTCATTTTACTATGGGTGACTTTAAAAATTAAAAATAAATAAAAATACATAAATTAGCCTTTTGAAGGAATATTACAGAAATTTCTATTTTTAGTAACCATGGCAACACCATTCTTCAAAATAAAAAACTGATTAAGACAATAATGCATCTCAGTGTAGTCAACTTGGCGCTTGCATGCCATTAGTTATATTAACATCAAATCAAACTGTAGGAGGAGTTGTATTTTGAAAGTATTTCACAGAAATTTCTATTTTTAAAAACCATGGCAGCACTTTTCATCAAAATCAAAAGCTAAGAAAAAAGAACCATGTATCTTAATGTTGTCTACCTGTGGGCCAAGTTATATTGAAATCAGACCAAAACTGTAGGAGGAGTAGCATTTTTATTAAAGTATTTCACAGAAATTTCTATTTTTAAAAACCATGGCAACACTGTTCATCAAAATCAAAAGTCAACAAAAAAGAAAAGAACGATGTATCTTATTGTTGTCTACCTGTGGGCCAAGTTATATTGAAATCAGACCAAAACTGTAGGAGGAGTAGCATTTTTATTAAAGTATTTCACAGAAATATCTATTTTTAAAAACCACGGCAACACTGTTCATCAAAATCAAAAATCAAAAAAAGAACGATGTATCTTAATGTTGTCTACCTGTGGACCAAGTTATATTGAAATCAGACCAAAACTGTAGGAGGTGTAGCATTTCACAGAAATTTTTAATAACCATGGCAACAGCACTCATCTAAATCAAAAACCGATACACAGAATTATGCATTGTAGTGTGCCAAGTTATACTGAAATCAGTCCAAAATTGTAGAAGAAGTAGCATTTTGAAAGTATTTCACAGAAAGTTCTATTTTCAGTAACCATGGCAACATCATTCATCAAAATAAAAAAACAGTATACAGTAAATGTATCTTAGTGTAGTCTACTTGTGTGCCAAGTTACATTGCAATCAGACCAAACCTGTGGGAGTAGTACATGTGTAGCATTTTGAAAAATCGTTCATAGACAGACAGACAGACAGACAGATGGACAACAGTAACCTTACTATTGCATAAGCTCTTCTGGTCTCTCACCAGTTGAGCTAATAAAAAGCCCCCTTTTTTTTGTAATTTTTTTTTTTTTTACAATATCCAAACTGGGTCCTATTGAGTTATTCATATGCATGGATTATAATTTTAGCTATCTAATCCAGGCCCCCATTTTACAAAAGAACTTGGGACTACAACCAATACATGTTTTTGTGAATTATTGTCTTCTTTACATTAATTTGAAAAAAAATGTATTATAATTTTTAAGACCTTGGAAATAAATCTTTACAGAGCAATTTTTATCTAAAATATTAAGTATGTAAGGTATTAAGAAACAGTTAAAAAATTTGTGTTAGTTGTAAGTTCTTTAGTAAAGGCCACTGGCCTTAAGTAATGTCAATTCATATTATTAAATGTCCAAACTGGGTTTGACAGGCACTGACACTTATTTAACACTTTCCATAACTGGCCTTGTGTCACATCCATAGATGCTTAATTTTCACTATTCAAACTTGGTCTTATCTCACACACACTGACTATTACTTTACAATATCCACCCACCTATAAGTTTCCTGATGGCCTCCTGCTGTCGGACCAGCATTTTGCCCTGATCCTGGACTTGAGCCTTCAGAGTTTTGATAGTTTTACTGTATCGCTCCACTTGATCCAGAATCCTCTTTTCCTCCTCGAATGAGATGGAATTTAGGGAGGGTAACCCTGATTCCAGTCCCTTAAGCCTCTGGGTCAGGCTCTGTATCTCCTCATCTCTCTGCTGTAATTGAGTCTGTAACTGAGTTTGTAACATACTGCGATCAGGATTCTGTACTAAATTCTGAAGACGTAAAACATCATCACTACGCTTTTGTAACAGTGATTGTAATCTTTCCACCTCTTGTTTTAATGCTAAGTTTTCTGATGATTGACTGTGCAATTCTTCTCTTAGTCTCTCAATTTCTTTTGTTTTTTCAATTTCTCTAGCTCTAAATTGTTTTAATTCCTCTTCAATCTGAGTCAATTTCTTATTCAGATGTTTATTTTCACTTTCAAGTTTTGATAAAGTACTTTTGGCCCGAATAACCTGTCGTTCTAAACTTTGTGCGAATCCAAATTCAGCTCGATACTGTGCCTGAAGGTCCTGCTCTGGTTCACACGGCGGGCCTGCCGCACCAAATACTCCCGAGTTTGGACGTCCGCTAGAAATGCGCTGCATCTCCATTTCACGGATTGAGGTCTGTAGTATGGCATTTTTGTTTACCTGTTCCTGCAGGCGTTTCTTCACTTCACTATACGCTGTCTGTAATGCGTGGAGGGACCCATCTTTTTCGTGACTGGTAAAACTCAACTGAAGATTGTTAAAGTGGCTCCCCGTCCCTGTTGTCGTACTCTCTGTAGTAGATTCCTCCTCATTGTGTCCTATTATAGCTATGTCCTCCTCCATTCTCTAGTACGGCCTGATCATCAGCAGCCTATATTAAATAGAACTGTCACCTTTAATTTTCTCTCATTTTGAATGTTAAAGTTGCAAGTAGGAGAACATTCTTTAATCAAGTTCTTATTTTATTTTTTTCATATTTATTAATTTTCTTCTAAAATTTTGCAGGTAAAAATTTCATATTGAATTAGCAAAAGAAAGTTTTGTATCTTATACACATGAAAATCCCTCCAAAGAGAGAGATCTTATAAATACCTGTGAAATCAACAAGAGAGATTGTTTATAAATACCTGAAGGACATTTATAAGTTTAAAATTACACCAGGAAACAGAATTCAAGGTTTTTACAGCGTCCATTTCTCCTACCTGTGCTCTTAATCTTATGAGTTAAGTTATATAACAGATTAATTTCACTTGAAAACCAACATCTTCCCACTAAGAAAATTTACAGGTTATTAAAAAATTATCACTTTGATCATAAAAAGGTTGGATTAGATTACAAATCATATGGAGATATATATCCCCTAGACTGTGATTAAGTAAGAAGAAAAGCTAATTATCAATTACCATTCTACAACTTCAGTCCATCTTTCACTGGCAATAAATTGGAAAAATCTACAAAAGAAAAATAAAAAATATTGCTAAGAAAAGCCATTAAATTATAAAATCAGTTATTTCATATGAAATTTAAGTATTTAACACCATATATATATATATGGGCAAACAGACAAACAAACATACACATGACATCAAACAACTCTGACAAGGTTGAATTATATGAATTGTAAATGATGTAGCTTAGAATTTCTTGATTCAGTGAACCAATTGTGAACCTGACTGAGCCAACTTTGTTAAGTACTAAACACCTCTGGATTTACTTGACATCAGAAGCCGTCTATATTTCACTGTTTGAAGTTCCTCCTACACACCAATGACTAAGCACCAACCTTCCTCTTGATCATCTAGTTCATTTTGTTAAGTCTAGATATATCATTTTTCTCTTAATACTTTCATATTTATCATCATGATCAACAAGACAATAAAAAATATCTTGGGCTATTCTACTTTTTATAGGAAAACTTCATCATTTTCATCATGTTGATGAATGATTGTGCTTTGTTTTTGTTGTCTGCAGAAAGGAATAGATACAGTGATAGATTTTTATATACTTCTCAATGACCTAAAATGATACATGTCTAGTCTACCTCTTACAGAAATAGTCAATAAAGATACTATAAGATTTATGTGACTGGCCTGCTGTAACACATTACACCTTGATCACCATATTATTATGTATTCCATACTAGATTTAAAAATGTTAGCCACATAACCTGAATGTGTTGAACAATAGTGCTATAGGTGTTCATGAATTAAATTCTCTGTGAAATGAAATCTTATTAAGTTTGAATCTGACTCTCTCAGGGGATTTCGATGTAGTACCTTGTACTTGTTTTCATTTATAAGCAATCAATTTGTCTATCTGTATCTAAAATACAGTACTCCCAATTGTGACAATCTTTGACCTTATTATAACCTTGACCTGATATAAAGCTTTAATTCTCTGACATATACTGTCCTGTTTCTATCTCATATGATAATATTTGGTGGTGACTGGGGGCTGTTTTTGTGAATTGATTCATTTCTTTTGGTTGCCTATGATATTTTCATGCATTCTGTATTCACTATAATAAGTATCATGCTCCTATTCACAATCTATTGTTTTAAAAGAATAAGCATCCCTCATTTGACCTCATGAATTGGTTAAAAAAAAAAGAAAAAAAAAGAGGCCCATGGGCCACAAAGCTCACATGGGTCACCTTTATTGGCTTGCTTTCTTCATAACATTGGCCACATTCTTGGGGCCATGATTTAAACAAACCTGAATCTACAGTACCTGAGGATCTTCCCTTTTAAGAGGTCACTCATGGCCCTTTATTTTAACAAACTTGAATCCCCTTCAACAAAGAATGTGCCAAGTTTGGTACCTGAGGATCTTCCCTTTTAAGAGGTCACTCATGGCCCTTTATTTTAACAAACTTCAATCCCCTTCAACAAAGAATGTGCCAAGTTTGGTTGAAATTTGTCAAGCGGTCCTGGAGAGGAGTTTATGATAACAACAACAGACAATGGATAAATTTCAATCAGTCTATGCGAAAGTCACCAGACTGTCGGTTTTCACTGGTAAAATTTGGTTCAGGTCAGTAAAAAAAATCAGGATTCAGGAGAGATTGTCCAATGAAAAAATAAGGCCTAAAAATCTGAATTTACATGTACATATGGTCTTGTTGTCCACACATATCCTTTATTTGATCCATTTAGTAGTAATACATGATTACTTTTAATCCATTAGAATCCTGTCATGATCGTTTGTTTGTGTCAAATAACCAGAAAAAGAGAAAATTTTATGCAACTGTATTATACTACCCTTTAAAAAGGAAAATTATTAATATTAAGCTTGTTCATTTCAATAAAATCATTTTTTATTATCTCTGGATTTACTTAAGGTTCAATTTAACAGTGAGAATTAACTCCCCACCACCACCCCTTTTATAATTAACCTCTGTATCTTAATAATGCATGAATTTAAAGGAAAAAAAAAGTTGGTCTGGTTAGTAAATGATTGTTCTGGTAAATTATATATTTTTATCCGGCCCATATGTCCTGTAAAAATTTTAAACTATCACGTATATTGTTCAATCAGAAAAGCTTATCTAAAATTTAGTCATTTGCAGGATGAAATATTTTTACTTGTAAAATTCAAGAAATCTGAATATAAAAACATACCGTACAGATATTCAATAACCATAAAAAGACTAATACCCCCCCCCCCCCCCCCCCCCTTACAAATTTGCTAAATGTTATTATTATAGTGATTATTTGGGTGAACATGTTATGTATAACAACTTTGCTAGGAGGGGTAACTCTTGTTCTGATCAAGTTTCTAAATTAAAAGAAAAGTCATTTTTTAAAATTTTTTGGGGTACTACAGAACCACAGGACCCAGTGAAGTAGTTTTCTGAGCATTTTATTCTGTTGTATTTTTACTCACTAAAGTTTTCTGGGCATTGTGAAATCCACAACACATGCATGCAAGTGACTTGCTAAATATTGTAATTCCTTGTAAAGGTCACTTTTCATTTCAAATAATTAGACCCTTGCCTGACTAAACCAAAGGACAAAGGCTTGATTCAATTGCAAACATCATTATCAATATATATACATTATTATTATTCAAACATCAGGATGTTTGATAAAAATAATTTTGCCTTTGTTTTCATCCAAAGATTCAATAAAAGATTTTTGTATAAAGTCATTATTTTAATAAGCATCTGATTTGTGCTTCTAGTTCAACAAGATAAAACTTATGAAAGGCATGTCTACTAACATAAATCTTGAATCATAAATCATCAAACTCAGGGTGTGTTGAATTCTACTCATATTGTCATTTTAGAAAATCCATTTTCAAACTGCGTAGGAAGAGAGAACAAAAAGGAATGACCTTATTAAAAGTTATCACTATTTAAAATCTTATATAACCGTAAAAAAAAAAAAAGTCACACTGAAAGGAAATAACAACCCTAAGTCACAATCCTGTCATTTTTACAAACTTCCAAATTACATCAATACAAGGACGTTGCTTCCAAATGTACAAGAAATTTATAAATATTGAATTCTTTAGAGATTTCAGATGGTAAAAACTTATCTAAATTCCGATTATTTGACCTAATTAAAATAAATATTAACATGCTTGCATGTCTATTTCCATGCATTTGAAATTATGGAGTATGTTGAATGCAGAGCCAAACTTTTACTACATTACTTTGTATGATTTCAGGATCTAAATTAAAATTCCTTCCTCTGTCAAATCTTGTACGTGTTCAATATTCTTGTACATGTATATATTTATATAAAATATACAAGAATTATTCAGGGGATTCCCAGACAAGATCTAATTTAAATTGCTTAAGGATGTATGCAAATATAGATGGTTAATTCAGAATATGAAAAGAAAAATTTTACTGTGTATGTAAAAATAAATTACTAACACTACCTCATACCAATAAGTTTTTAATCTATGAAGGTATAAAATACTAGCTTTATAACATCCTTTATCCCTCAGGGAAGTTTTAGAATCTAAGGTCAGATTAATCTCTTTCGCTTTGAATTCTCAGAGCTTTAAAAAACACATTTCTCAAATATATACCCAGCTAATTAAATTTCGTAAACATAATTTGTTCACAGAATGTCATCATATTGTTTTTCAACACTTCACAGCTACAAAGTCTGAATACAAGGAAGAGTTATTGCTCTTTCCTCAAAGACAACTCTTCAGGGCACCAATCATGGACTCCGATTATAAAGCATGGCTAGGAAGAGTTATCTGAGTGCAACAAGCCAATATACACATACTTTGTAAAATTCATATAACCTCTTCACATGGGATATCTGTGACCCTTTCCTACTATGTCATGCAATTATTATTATTTCTTTTATTACACGAATTAACAATTTTTTCCCCATACAGCACTGATGAGATAAAATTTCCTACATACATTAACTTGTTTATCATTTGAATATCTCTGTTCAGTAAAAACAAAGAAACTTCTAGTGACAGAATCGGAAAGAACAAAGACATGTCTAGTCTCCCTATTCAGTAAAAACAAAGGCACTTCTAGTGACAGAATCGGAAAGAACAAAGACATGTCTAGTCTCCCTATTCAGTAAAAACAAAGGCACTTCTAGTGACAGAATCAGAAAGAACAAAGACATGTCTAGTCTCCCTATTCAGTAAAAACAAAGACACTTCTAGTGACAGAATTGGAAAGAACAAAGACATGTCTAGTCTCCCTATTCAGTAAAAACAAAGGCACTTCTAGTGACAGAATCGGAAAGAACAAAGACATGTCTAGTCTCCCTATTCAGTAAAAACAAAGACACTTCTAGTGACAGAATCGGAAAGAACAAAGACATGTCTAGTCTCCCTATTCAGTAAAAACAAAGGCACTTCTAGTGACAGAATCGGAAAGAACAAAGACATGTCTAGTCTCCCTATTCAGTAAAAACAAAGGCACTTCTAGTGACAGAATCGGAAAGAACAAAGACATGTCTAGTCTCCCTATTCAGTAAAAACAAAGGCACTTCTAGTGACAGAATCGGAAAGAACAAAGACATGTCTAGTCTCCCTATTCAGTAATAACAAAGGCACTTCTAGTGACAGAATCAGAAAGAACAAAGACATGTCTAGTCTCCCTATTCAGTAAAAACAAAGGCACTTCTAGTGACAGAATCAGAAAGAACAAAGACATGTCTAGTCTCCCTATTCAGTAAAAACAAAGGCACTTCTAGTGACAGAATCAGAAAGAACAAAGACATGTCTAGTCTCCCTATTCAGTAAAAACAAAGGCACTTCTAGTGACAGAATCAGAAAGAACAAAGACATGTCTAGTCTCCCCATTCAGTAATAACAAAGGCACTTCTAGTCTCCCTATTTATATAATAGTGTTGTGTTTTGCATGTAGTATGCCTAAATAGTAGTCAGGGTTTGACACTCGGAGGCGAGTGCACTATGTGTCAAACCCTGATTACTACTTAGGCATAGTGAATGCAAAGTACAACACTATTGTTATTATTATGCTGAGTGTTGTATAAAAACTACAATATTTTCTCCATTTCCAATGTTTCATCACCTCTTCCATTCATGTTAGTACACCCCTATTATGACGTCATGTTGTACTACATGTATGTCATAATCTTTTTTCTTTAATTTTGAATGTTCCATGCATTAGATATATTTACAGATAGTTTCAGAGAATTTTAGTTGAGTGAAGGGGAAAAAATTGCAAGATACTATTTTAGAAAAATTATTTTGTTTATTTTTTTTTCTTTAACTGTAAAATATTTGAAACTAAGTTTATGTATATTATAATACGTTGCTTTAGATAATGGCGTCTGTGGCGTAATCGACAGCGCGTCAGAATGTCAATCTCGGGGTCGCGAGTTCGACCCAAGGTGTGGGCGCTGTCAGATTTTCTTCAGAAAAACAAGCCATGCACTATTTCGGCATAGTATGCTTACGCTATATAAATCCTTAGAACACTATGCGAAAATAGTTGGGCATTGACTATATAGAGACAAACTGACAGGAAGCATAATAATTAGTGATAACAAAGGCACACATAGTCTCCCTATTCAGTAATAACAAAGACACATCTAGTCTCCCTATTCAGTAATAACAAAGGCATGTCTAGTCTACATATTCAGTAATAACTAAGGCATATCTAGTCTACCTATTCAGTAATAACTAAGGCATATCTAGTCTCCCTATATAGTAATAACTAAGGCATATCTAGTCTCCCTGTTCAGTAACAACAAAGGCATGTCTAGTCTCCCTGTTCAGTAATAACAAAGGCATGTCTAGTCTACCTATTCAGTTATAACAAAGACATATCTAGTCTACCTATTCAGTTATAAGAAAGACACATCTAGTCTACCTATTCAGTAATAACAAAGGCATGTCTATTCTCCCTATTCAGTAATAACAAAGGCACGTTTAGTCTCCATATTCAGTTATAACAAAGGGATGTCTAGTCCCCATATTCAGTAATAGCAAAGGCATGTCTAGCTCCATATTCAGTTATAACAAAGACATGTCTAGTCTCCCTATTCAGTAAGAACAAAGGCATGTCTAGTCTCCATATTCAGTAAGAACAAAGGCATATCTAGTCTCCATATTCAGTAATAACAAAGTCATGTCTAGACTCCCTATTCAGTTATAACAAAGGCATGTCTAGTCTCCATATTCAGTAATAACAAAGTCATGTCTAGACTCCCTATTCAGTTATAACAAAGGCATGTCTAGTCTCCATATTCAGTAATAACAAAGACACATCTAGACTCCCTATTCAGTTATAACAAAGGCACATCTAGTCTCCCTGTTCAGTAATAACAAAGGCACATCTAGTCTCCGTATTCAGTAATAACAAAGGCATGTCTAGTTTCCCTATTTAGCTATAACAAAGGCACTTCTAGTCAATCAGAATGTACACCTTTCTGGGTAATATCAGTATCAAACTCTGATTATACATATTTCTCTACATTAAGCTCCATGTGAAAAGGTTTTACTTACTTTTCATGAATGACTGCATTGCTACAAAAATTAAAATTGACAGACTTGTTTTTTTTTTTTAATTGTCCAGTTTGGGTCTAAGAACTGTGAAGAAATGGAACAAACCATAACTACTCTTGCAATATCACATGAATTGAAGAAAAGACAGTTGATAATATAGTGTGATGTAACTAGAATGGTAGAACAGGACACATGTAATACTATATCCTCTTTGCTGGAATACAATGGATATTAAATCAGGAGAATATACAAGCAGATATAATTTGTTAACACCATTTGTACAATGTACAAGTTCAAACATTAAATTGGTGTAGACACAATGCTACTATAGAATTGAATCTAATAATAATCTCTATCTAATATATCTAATAACTGACAATAATCAATGATAATATTTAGTTTATAGATAACATCAACACAGTAACAACAAAGGGTTATACAAGTACATGTACAATTACAAATCAAACTTTCTTTAGACTTATCTTACTTGGATTCTAGTTATATTTAACAACTTCCTTCAATACAAGATTTCCTAAAATCTTCTCCAGAGTGAACACTAACGAAAAAAAAAGCTAATATCACTGTGCATTTTCCCTCAGTTAGCACATCATACTAATGTTCTTAATCAAAACATGGAACTACATAATTTCAGTGTCTTGAAACTTGGAACTTTTGATACCCAGGTTCACCACTGAATGAAATGTGAGTACTGTTTTCTTTCACTGATACCTTACATGTGAGTCTTACCTCTTAATGTTATAGTGATAATTTAATGGCGGTTCCACTGCAGAATTAAAGATGTGGTATTCTAAGACAAAGACCTCTGAAGACCTGAATTCCAAAAAATAATAATAATAATAATACAAATAAATATACATCAAATCAGGAACAAGAAAATTAAATGAAGCAGGAAAAAGTAACAGCTATGAAACTCTCATCATTGCTAGTGTTGCTGGAGATTTTTAAACCTTATAAAACACCTAGGTTTCTGTATTCTAAATAATTTTGTAAAGATGTTTTTATATCCTTAATAAGGAACTCTGTTCAATCTACTGGTAGAATTCCAAAAATACTGGTCAGCTTATTACATCTAGATCACAAGAACCTTTTCCAAGGCATCCCACCAAACAAAAATCTATTCCAGGGCATCCCACCAAACAAAAATCCATTCCAGGGCACCTCACCAAAGAAAAATCCATTCTACGGCTCCCCACCAAACAAAGATCTATTCTAATTCCCCGCACCCCAAAAGAAATAAATAAATTTATTCTGGTGTACAAATGTATGCTCCATCTACAGATATAGTAATCCTTTTGTCTTTATGAAAAAAGAGTCTATTTAGTGTGACTTAAAAAGTAATTCAGATCAAAATGAAATGGCTAACATAATTGTATATTTAGTTATGTGTACAAGATAGCAATGTTTCGAAACATAGAACTCAATAACAAATAAAAAAGTTTCTTTTTTGATACATTTATATTAGTATTATATTGGGACTGATTATTGTCAAACACATCCCAAAGTTTATACCCTTCTGTACCTGATAAAACTTAATTGTATCCATAGTAAATAAAACAAATTTACATCCTGCTAAATGTAAGTAGGAAGTGAAATGAAAGAAGTCTACACATATATTTATATATGTATTTATGTTTTTCAGAAATCATAAAATGTATAGCATGTGTAACTTGTCACTTTACTATATTATGTCCCAATTCCCATTTTTTGTGAGCTATTTTTAATCTACCAATGATAAATGATCGGCTTTATGTGGAGCATTCATTTCTCAGTAAATGCTGACCTACATTTTATGGAATTTTCATTGATAATTTATACTCATTCATGTCTTTAATTCAAATGTTTGAAGGAGGAAGTTATATTTGAATGTTTCAAGGTATAAAATTAAAAGTATTCAATTAAAAACTCATTTTTTTTAGAATTTTTAAACAATAACATATTGAACTAAAACTTATCAAAACTTTAAAGTGTATATATAGTATTTAATGCATTTCTGTACACAGGTACAGTATTATATCAATGTATGTTTTCAATATACCTGTTGAGCAGTTAAACAAAATCCTGGTTAAAAATATTAAATCCTAAAATTTGTTCAGAATGTGAAATTGCTACTCGTTCATTCATGATAAATGTATCGCTCAAGATTATTGATGCGCAACGGAGTTAAATTACATAAGCAACATTAGACAGCATATGTAAACAAATCATTGATAGAGATGAACGTAGTTGGTGAGTCACATATTGGAAAAGGTAGGAATATTTGTAATAACCACACCTAGCACTCAAATACACATTTTTTCTAAATTCTTCGAAAGATTAGTAGCATAGAAATAAATATTTAAACACCCCCACATCCCCTGTAGTAAAAATTACTGGTCTTACCAGTAGTACTGAGTGACTGCATGACCTATATAATGGCCCACGTAATGAGACGAATGAGTATCACCAATCAGACGTCTTTTCTTGTCCTCAGAGAAAAAGGTTACTTTTAATTCAAAGAAAATTGAAGAATTTTCTAAAAATGTTTACGTACGTCTAAATGGCGGAGGTGTTTCTGATTTTTCGCATTCCGTGCCCGATAGAGAGGTTTACGAAAAGCTCTTTTCTTACGGCTATGATTCGTTTCTTCACAGGAATCAGCTTGCACAAATCACTACATGTGTTACCAGTTAGTAATAACAATTTGCCATGATTTTTTTTCGTTACACGTTCTTTTTATTAAAGCTATATATGGCGTATCTGATCTAAATAAATAAATAAAAATACGAGTTTGAGTGTATTTATAAATAAACACGATTTATGTTATTTACGTTTAAATTAAAGTTTCCACCGATTTTGAACTTGAATAACCTCATGTTTCCATAGTTCAATTAAATTTTTTAAAACTGTGTCTGTTAATTAAATGCGGATTCGATAAATAAAATCGGTTATTGTTTTAAATTTCTAATATCTTTGAAACGTGATTCATTTAAATTATGTAATTTACAGGAAAGTGCTATCTTTATATAAAGTAATAAAACAAATAGAAAGATCTTTTTTTATTTTAGTTTGTCTGAACTTAAAAAAATACGCCATATATGACTTTAATTGTTAATAAGTATTTTTGATATGATTTTTATATGTTTTACCAATAGTCTAAGTCGAATTAAAATAAGGACTTTAACTTGATTTAAAACGCTTCATCCATAGATTTACTCATACAGTATTTTACGAGATATCGCGTCTGTAACTGATTATACATACATGTACTAAATGGCTTGCTTCGGAGACGTTAATAACATTAATCGCTTTTAGAGAAATTAAATTAAAAAATGAATTCGTAAGATACGGGTAAACTTCATTATATATATATATATATATATATATATATATATATATATATATATATATATATATATATATATATATATATATATATATATATATATATATATATATATAGTGTGGGTGTGGGTGTGTGAGGGTGGGTGTGGGTGTGAATAAAACTAAATAGCATAGTGTTAGAATGTAAATATATGCTTTTTCCTTCCCTCATAAAATGATACCCTTACATGGCACTATATAATTAAAGCACCGAGCTCTCCCTCTACTGCCGAATTACATTCGCCAGCAAGTTTGTCTGATTAAATGTTTAATCCTATAAATAACTGAAAAGTAAAATTTAATACATTTTGGGTTTCTACACAAAATGCATGTTAACCCTAAAAAGGTTTCAACTCGATCGGATGAGTAGTTTCCGAGAACACTCGCGGACAAAAAAGTACCAGAGAAGAAATTTAGAAAAAAGAAAGTAAACACAATATGTTCCACTTTGTTTGGGAAACATAATTACGATAAAAATAATTAAGGGTGCCTCAGTTCAGATATACAAGAACATAAACAAAAAATTTGTTTTTGCCGAAAAAGTCATACAATTACTCTTTTGATTTAAATTGTTACTCAGAAGCTAAAGCGCGTACCTACATTTTTGTGAAGTTAAATTCCAAAAATAACTGTTCACACTGTGTATTGTACTAGAATGGAAGCGACAGATAATCCAGTACACAATTAGACAAAGTTTGTTCTAATGACCTCTAAATAGTAATGACAGCTAAAGGTCGATAAAATTACAAAGTCGACAACTGATACTCTTGATCATGTAGAAATACATCTTCGTACGATGACAGGCCCGTAGGAAGCCCGTTGGAGGGGGGAGGGGGGGCGCAACCAAACGTTTTCAGTTTGGGGAACACTACCAAAAATTCAAGCTTGCCCACGATCCTGAATTTTCAAATTAATGATTGCATGATGTAAAACATAGATATACAACCTATAGGCCAAAAATCACTTAAACGTAATTATACTGAAAAAAACCTCTGGAGCATTTTATAGGAAAATGTCTTTTCAAATGAGAAGTAAAATTCATACGTAATTTCTTCTTCGAGAAATAATACAGCGCATCTCATTCATGCAGTTATGGTAAATTACGATATTTAAAAAATCATATACATGTGCTTATAACAATTAAAAATATTTACTGTAATATAGTTAACAGATATGAAATTCAATTTTTTATCTACAATCACATGTACAAATTATTTGTACCATTTTGTACTTGTCGAAGCAAAAAATTATAGCAACGAAGCAGTATCGTTATACACAAATGAAAAAAAAGGTTTTAAAAGGAAAAATGCCGTTTCAGACAATGAAATGCAGAGGGAAAAAACTGCACATATGCCCGAGATGTCACGTATGCACAAAGAGAATTAAAATCCATGGCTTACAGCAATCTTGTTTCTGACACTGTGAGGGTTAAAGCTCGTGTACACGTTCTGTAATTTTTTTTTCAGCAGTATTGCAAAAGCATTACTGATTCCCACACCGCTATAGACTGTAATTCCGTCAAAATTATCGAAGTGGAACAAAACTGCAAACAGTGACTCGCATACCAATGATCACTTTAATACATGCAAGCTTCTAGAAAATAAATATCCCGGAAATCCTACTAGTACAGACAGGCTGACAATCAATGGGACTGACAGACACACAAACAGAGAGGAAACCTATATATTATCCCGCAGGATCCAACGATAGGGAGACTAATAAAAAGTAACGTATTCCGAGTACTAGCATAGACGTATATATACACGTCCCTAGTGCTATCTTACTGAAAAGGTTAAATAATAAAATGAAATATAGACAATCTTAACAATCCGATATGGGACCCTGGTGCATTAGCGTTAGGTAATGAAAACTTACTTGTACAGGGTCGTTCAAAAATACACAGACAAATGTCCCTCTTCATCATTATTTTTACATGAATTAAGATCAACATATTTTCAAATGTAAAAAACATTTATTTTGTCGATGTGTGAAGTTTCAATCGTTTAAATGGAACTCATTTTACTTAATTTTAAAATCAACATTTTTTTAACACGGAGAGACGACATTGTAACGTCAAAAACAACATTGTAACGTCAAAAACAACATTGTAACGCGCGTCAAAAAGAACATCGTAACGTCAAAAACAACGCCGTGAAAGTTTTTCAAAATTACTCTGCCTTTTCATTTCATATCCGGTCTGTAGCGCCTTACCTATTCACAAAAAACGTTCCCAAAACACTTGATACCTAGTTTGCTAACAGTTGTTCGAGTAGCTCAAGTTGGTTGTCAGTGTTTTCAAATTCTTTGCCGCTTAATTCTACTTTCACGAGTTCCGCAAGGGTGAAGCACATATCAATTTCCATGAAGGTACTCTTTTGACCATTTTTTTAAAAAAATAAAAAATAAAAAAATAAAACTATAATCTACAAGTGTTTTTCTTCGCAGACAGTCCATCATGTCCATCAGCTCAAAGTCTCTACAACTCAAAAACTGTCTTTTCCATTTACATGTATATACAAATGCTGGTTCGTCCAGTATTTTCAGATTTTGCTTTAGAGCCATCCCGAGTGCAAGACATGTCGCTTCTCGCTGCTCCTTGACGTACTTCGAACGAACGACGTTATCTTTTTTTCTCATTAAAATCTATGTTTCTTTAGAAATTGATTTCTTTTAAAGAAGTAATGCATTTAAAATTTCATTTTGGAATCTGAAATTATATAATAATATTGAATTGAACGTTTAAAATTTTTTTCGTTTAAGCGCCATTTATTAAAGGTTTGACTATAGTATTACTAGTGAATTACTCAACTTTGACCGTGCTCTGCGATCCAATTTTCGCTGTCTTAAATTTTAGATAATTTTGATATAAATATCATGATATTTTCATTTTTTAAAATTTGAATTATTTAAAATTATTTTTCAAAAAATATCTACTAAATTTTGTTCGATATCCTTTTGGACTAGTACCCATATCACCATTTTTCGTAGCTTCAGGTCTGTAGCTGGTCTGAAAGAAATGGGATTCACGACGACCAGTGAGCTACAGTTCCATGCGTTATTTTTATTGCAAAAAGATATCAGATATAGATGAAATCTTACATAATTTTATGGAACATGGGTCTGTGAATTTACTGTATCAAAATACATGAGTAACATTCATTATGTCTTTAAGGACTCTCTAAATATTGCACACTAAAGAGTTTTACATGTATTATGTGGTATTTTTATGCAGTTACATTGAGCTGCCTTCAGATGTACGATGAAATAAATTGAAATCTACAGTATATTACTCAATTTGTTGTCAATTCAAGCATTAACCAAAGATCAATAAAGGTTCCATAACCAGTGCGAGTTAGTAGCCGGTTTTTCTCAAAATATCGATTCTTATTTTTTTTTTAATTTTCAAAGGAACGAGGCTCAAAAACTCTTAATTAGTTCCGTTTCCATGATTTTTTACGAAATTACAGGGACCCATTATCGCATCTGCAAAACTCTCAGAAGGCTTGTAGGGTTAGGGTTACCAAGAATAAAGAAACACCGCAAACTGAAGTAGAAACATAAACGTTCATAGAAGATAATAATTTGTGATCGAATTGACACAGGTAGATTTATCAAAATATTCATATCATAAACGAAATACACCTGAATCAGTTCACGTTTATAAATAAGTAACGCGTGAGAAGACCGATTTCGCAATGATAAATGTCCACATTGTCTCCTTAAAAGACGAAAAAAGGCGGTATTAGCTATAGACCACTTATTTTGTTATTCCATAGCGATCTTTTATTTTTTGTTACAATAAATGTAATAATTTTATAACTAGATTTATATTCCTGAACTTCTGAAAACATTTCTTTCTTCTTACATACGGATTTTTATTTCATCTTTTATATATACGATTCGTAATAATTTCTTTTATTTCATGGCGATAGATTTCGCTTTCTGGGTCAGAAATTACTATAGTACTAATGCACGTCTGATGCTAAAAGATCTACCATACATTTTCTTGCTTATCAGAAGTAAAATGTGTTCGGTCCTTTGTTTATCATTGCATTATTTAGATTATACCTATATACGTTGTACATATATATATATATATTTATATCTT